ATCATTCAATAAAATTTAATTTGTCATTTCATTTTTATTTGTCACTTCATTTTTATTTGTCATTTAATTTTTATATTTGTCATTTAATTTTAATTTGCCATTTCATTTTTATTTGTCATTTCATTTTTATATTTGTCATTTCATTTTTATTTGCCATTTCATTTTTATTTGTGATTTCATTTTTATTTTTTTTCATTATTACAGGTCAAATGCCTAGTAATCAAGAAAACTCAAAAGATGCAAATGCTCCTGAAAATGCTCCTGAAAATACTCCAGAAAATACTTCAGAAAAGACTTCAGAAAAAGATATTACACGAGGTATAACTATTATGAGGGGAATCATCCGTGATAGAGATAGAGGGGTAACATATAATGTAGATTGGAATGACAATGACCAACTAATTGGGTCTAATGCTTCAAAGTTAACAAGCTACATTGGTACGCTTGTTCGTATACACATTCCGATCACCAATCCTAGATGGAAAAGAGGAGAGTTGGATGAGGCTAAGGAGAAAGTTTGGACTTAGATAAAGGTACATATATGGTTTTTGTTATTTTCTTTATCTTGACAATAATATGTGTTTAAATTTCTTTTACTAACACACTTTATGCGTATGTTTTTTTGTAGAGGTCTTTTAACATTGAAGATACCCATAAAAAGTATATAATGGGTTTGGCTGGAAAAAGACACAGAGGGTGGAGAACATTTTTAACAAACAAGTATCTTAAAGATGATGAAGGAAATTTTCTTGAAGAGGATCCGGAACGTCCAAAGAAATATGAGAACTTCGATACACCTGAAGAATGGGTTGGTTTTGTAGGCCAAAGAAGAGACGAGAATTTCAAGAAAGTGAGTGCTATCAATCGCGAGAGAGCGTCAAAACCCGCATATCCATACAAAAAAAGGCGTTTGGGATATGCTCGCTTAGAGGAAAAGATTGTAAGTAAATATAAACTCTACGATCTTATTAATTCTCTCAATGTGTTATAGTTGATGATCTTAAGACTTGTGTCATTGCGTAGTTAGAAGAGACGAATAGTGACGCAACATCACTACCGGCACATTTGTTATGGAAGGAAGCCCGTGTGGGCAAGGATCAAGCTGTTAATCTCGATATTCAACATGTGTATGATGAATGTGTAAGTATAAGATTGTGTCTTTAGTTAAATCAATTAATGTTTATTAATATTTAAATAATTTTTTATCTCCACTAATAATTTTTTATATGTAAATGAATTACAGGAGACCTTGTCGCAATCGATATCCCCAGGTGAGGATCATCAGGATACCAGGAGCGTACTTAGTCGAGCACTAAATATTGTTGAGTATCCGGGTCGGGTGAGGGGTAAAGGTCATGGTGTGACTCCAACCTCTTTGTATAAGCATCCAAGGAGAAGAAATCCTAGCAATGCAAAAGTGATGCAAACATTGCAGGATTTACAAGCTCAAGTCCGTGAATTGCAGAAGGATAAAGAGAGATATATGGCAGAAAAGAGCAGTTCACAATTGAAAGAAACTAGTGACAAAGCTAGTATCAACTGTCAGCATAAATTTCCCGAGGTAATTTTCAATATATATCCATTATTATTATAGAATATTTTTAGTCACTAATAACGGTTATTATTGGTTTAGGGCATTTCATCTTTCCAGCTATACCTATCGTCGCCGACTTATCGACTAGTTGGTAAGGGAAAAGTCCATAACACTTCGGGAGATTTACTTCATAATAGACAGCTTCCGGATGGACACATGAAAGTATCGGTTGACATTGCTTTAGATATGGATGCGTTGCTGCCGGTACCTGACATTGTTGCTGAGACCACCTTGCTGCGAGATGCAATAGGATCTTTTGTTGCATGGCCATCGGACCTCATTTTCATAGATGACAGGTATGTTGAAAACAATTATGAATCTTTAAGTCTTCAACTGTCAGTTCTGACCACAGTTATTTCCACGGTAATTATACACTCCTACAACACCCGCATCTAAGGGTAAAGGGATTTTGCGACACGACGAGTCTGACGTATCACCAAAAGAGGTACGTTTAAAGTGTTAATTATATGATCCGTATAAAAAACTGCATAATTTTATAATTTAACTGAGTTTATATGATTTTTAGGTACCTTTTCAAGGGTCACAACAAGTGAGCCAGAAAATCGCTGGCGTACCACCCAAGAAAAGGGTGCCTACTAGATTTTTCTCTCGATACCGGCAGTGTCTTGAAACAATAGTGGGAACAACAGATTTGATGGATGGTGGTATTCGTCAAATGGATATGGATCAAGGTATCTTTGGTTTTCCTTGCACCGAAATAATTGGACATGAGGACGTGGAACAGATTTTCCGTCATAAAGAATTGGGCGTCAGTATTATGCACGCATACATCCGGTAACCCCATCTTTATATTATGTAATTAGCTGAAATCTTTTTTAAACATCTCAATGAATATAGTCTAATATTAATTATGTTTTTATTTAAGGCTGTTATATGACAAATTGATGCGCGGGAATCAATTGTCAAACAGATTCCATTTCGTGTCTTCCTCCCGTGTCAGTGGAGCGACAATTGGTAGGGAACCGGATTCAGTAAGAGAGCACTTAGTCGAAAGATTCATGGCAACTGGCAGTACAGAAAGCTTATATCTTTGGGCGTATAATACTATTCCTACAGGGTTAGATTTTCATTCTAAGTTCATTTTAATATTTGTAATTTTTGCGTAGAAAAATTTCTTCTAAACTGTTGTTTTAATTTATAGACGTCACTGGTTGTTGGTTGTTATCGATCCTATAAAAGAAGTGGTCTATTATCTGAATTCGGTTGACGGTGATTGGACAAATTATCCGGATATGAAATGATTGATACGTAAGTGAGATTATTCTAATTATTTGTGTGTATTTATATATTTAATTATTTCTGTGACATTGTTCTAAATATATATTTTTATTTTGTTAGAGCGATACAAGTATTCCGGTGTCAAAGAGAAGCTCGGGTACAACGGTCTAAATCAAACAACATTAATTGGATCAAAGTGCAGGTATATTAATTTCCACTATTTTGCTTATAATATTTATGCTATTTGATAAAACAATACAACTATATATTCTTATTTATTTTCTATGTAGTGTCCTCAACAGCAAAACGGTATAGATTGCGGATACTTCGTTATGCGGTTTATCAAAGAAATCATTCAACTGAATCAAATAGAGATTCCAGTCACGGTATGGATTTATAACTTAGGATTTGTTTTATTATTTCTCGGATATTTCATATAATTTTTTACTTTTAACTAAATCATGCATATTATGTTTTGTTATGTAGTACTTCGATGAGTACAAATGTGCATATTACACGAAACTTCAGTTGGAAGAAACCAAAGAGGACTTGTGTCAATATTTTATTGAACAGAGAATCATATAAGGACTGGTTTAGTTGTTGTTAGGGTTGATTTTGTAAGACTGATTTTGAGTTACAATGCTGATAATAATGGTTTATATAATTTGAGGTACAAAAATGGTGTATATATATTTTGGATTACAATGCATTACCGCTGTTTATGAATTACAATGCATTACCGCTGTTTATGAATTACAGGTTATGGCAACTGGTTTATATAAATAATATGCTGCAAACAATGCAGGTATATGAATTATATAAATTATACCTCTAAAAAAAACACCCTATGAAAGCGCTTTTTGGAGAAAAACGCTTTCATAGGTAGACCTATGACAGCGCTTTTTCACATAAAGCGTTGTCTAAGGTAAACATATGACAGCGCTTTTTCAGGAAAAAGCGCTGCTAAAAGACAACCTATGAAAGCTCTTTTCCAGAAAAAATTGCCACCAATGAAAGCGCTTCTTCATAAAAAAGCGCTGCCAAAAGCCTACTTAAGAGAGCGCTTTTTAGAAAAAGTGCTGCCAAAAGCCTACTTAAGAGAGCGCTTTTTAGAAAAAGCGCTGCCAAAAGCCTACTTAAGAGAGCGTTTTTTAAAAAAAGCGCTGCCAAAAGAGTACTTAAGAGAGCGCTTTTTAGAAAAAGCGCTGTCATAGGTAGACCTACGAAAGCGCTTTTCATTAAACAAAAAGCGCCGCTAAAACCTATAGTAGCGCCACCTTAGAAAGCGCTTTTAAAGGCCAAAAAAAGCGCTTTCGTAGGTCTTTTTTGGCGTAGTGCATTTTTTATTTGTGTGTTGAAGTTGAAAACATAACTCTTCACGAGAAACTTAATTAAGACTCGTAAAGAGTTGATTTGCGCATCGCATGAAGATTCACGTTTGTTTAGAGATCAATTATTTTGATTTATGAAAAAAAATTCTTAAGTTCATCAACTTTCACGTTCTGATCAAACTCTGTTTCCGCCAAATTCTTGTAATACATTATTAAATAGTTTTGAGAACACACTTTTGTTTGTCATCTCTTAGGTTTCAAGGACAATGATAGTATAATTTTGTTTATAACCTCTTAATTTTAAAAGTTCTGTACTATTTTAGTTGTGATATCTAGTGTCAAGAACAAAAAAAATGCTACGCACTTTGGTTTTAATATTAATTTTTAAAAACATATTTTTAGTATTGTTACTTATGATTTGGAAAACACTTATGATATTCACAAAAATAATTTGTAGTGTTTCGTATTGTGTTATTTATTTTAATTTTTTTATATGGTAAATCTATTTTCATTATTAATATTATGAAATTAAGCCAGAAATTTACCGTTTAAATTAATTCATGCAAGCTTTCACTGATTAATGACAAAAAATAAACGTTACTAAATCATTATCATATATCTCATAAAAACGAGTATTTAGGTGTCCAAATTAGTATCTAAATAGCACATACGAACCAAAACAATAGCACATGTAAAAATAATATCCTCAAAATAAATATCTTGAATCTTTTGACTATTCAACACTTCACATCCATTCTGTCTACATGTTATGTTACACACAAAGAAGAAGAAACACATAACTAACCAACCATGGTGGAAAGAATAAACCAAGAAGCATGAAGAAACTCCTTCTATTACTCAACTCAATCCTCTTAGCCATAGGAACATGTGGTGGCCCTCTAGTAATGCGTCTATATTTCATCCATGGCGGCAACCGTGTCTGGCTCTCAAGCTTCCTAGAAACATCTGCCTTCCCTATCATCCTCATTCCCTTAACCATCTCTCACATCTACAACCGTTACAATAACCCTAGTGGAATTGGAAACAACAACTTTGTCTCAATGAAACCACCTTTGTTTTTGGCCTCGGCCGTGATCGGAATCCTCACCGGTCTGGACGATTACCTCTACGCCTGCGGGATAAAGCGTCTTCCTGTGTCGACTTCGTCGCTAATTCAATCCTCCCACTTAGCTTTCACGGCGGTGTTCGCTTTTCTTGTTGTGAAGCATAAGTTTACGGCCTATTCTGTTAACTCAATTGTCTTGTTGACGCTTGGGAGTGTGGTTTTGGCTTTGAATTCCAAGGGTGGCGATCGTCTCGTTGGGGAGTCGACTAAGGAGTATGTGATTGGTTTTGTTATGATATTGGCTTCTGCTGCTTTGTATGGATTTGTTTTGCCGTTGATGGAATTGGTTTACCAAAAGAGTAAACAACTTATTACTTATTCTCTTGTTATGGAGATTCAGCTTGTTATGTGCTTCTTTGCTACTTTCTTTTGTCTTATTGGGATGTTCATAGACAATGATTTTAAGGTGATATATCTCTTTCATTATCTAATTCTCTTATTCTTTGTCTAAAATAATTTATATTGTTAGTGCATTATCTCTTTACTTTTTTTAAATTCATATCTGACACTCATATGATACTTATACATTAAATATTAGACAATTCTCGCAAATATTTCAAAAAAAAAAAAATTTCTTTTATTAATATAATTTTTTAGACAAATCTCACCTATTTAAAAGAGTTAAACATATATTGAAACAATATTATCAATAAATTATTAAATAATTAAAGATGTTAATTTTAATTAAAATATTTATAACTCTAAGTGAATAAATTAGATTCAAATACTATCATATATGTAATAGTGTTGATATTTTATATTTTTGACGTTATCAATATCAAAATATCATGTTATATCGTGTCCTAGTATCCTTGTATCTATGTCGTGTTCCATTTTACAACTTTTTGTAAGTAAATAAATAAAATGTTGTAGATTCCAATTCCTGCCTTTATAAATTGATACTTTAACTGAGCTGACTTAATATTTGATAAATTATTGTGTTATTTTGCAGGTGATTCCAAGGGAAGCAAGGGAGTTTAAGTTAGGAGAAACAAAATATTATGTTGTGTTAGTTTGGAGTGCTGTAATGTGGCAGTTTTTCTTTTTAGGAGTGATTGGAGTTATTTTTTGCTCCTCGTCTTTATTATCTGGTGTTATAATTGCTGCGTTTCTTCCCATAACTGAAGTCTTAGCTGTTATTGTCTATAAAGAGAGTTTTCAAGCAGAGAAAGGGGTAGCTTTGGCGCTTTCTCTTTGGGGCTTTGTGTCTTACTTTTATGATGAGATTAAAGAAGCAAGAAAAATGAAAAGTAGAGAAACGGAACTGCCTCAAAGTCTTCATTCCAATACATGATTGCAAGAAATAATGTTGTTGTTGTTATTGATTGGTTTAGTTTTGCTATCTAGGCTTACTTTTGAATTGTCAATATTATTGGCTACTTTTGTCCCACACAAACTTCATGATAACCACATCTTCGTGAAATAAAAAATTTAATGTTTGTGATTCTCTCTCGTCTCCACTAAAAGATCAAATTTAAAAGCTCACTCTATCTAATTCAACTTAAGTAAGGTGTTTAAAATCAATTTAACAATAATGGCATGTTTATTTTAACTTTAAAAAATGGATTTTTTTTTATATTTTCAAATATTAATTTTATAAAATTGTTTTTTTAAAATATTATAAATTTTTTTATATTCCTTATTTCTAAATTGAAAGATTAATTTTGACATTTTATAATATAAATATACATTATTGAAGATTAAAACATAATCGAGATTATAATTTTTCAAAATATTATATTTCAAAAATAATTTTAATGAAAAATTATTTGAAGTGACTTTTAAATCAAGTAATTTTTTGAATTTATGATATCCAAAAAAAATTAATAAAATGATGAAATATCAAAATAAAACTTTTATTTGAAATTTTTATCAAAAGTTTCTTTACAAAAATTTTTTACACAATTATATAATACTATAAAAATCATTTTTAAAAATAGTCGGAACAAATGGGCCTTATATAAAGTTGGTCTATCCTTTACTCTCTAAATAACATTTGTTTCCTTATCAAATTAAAAAAGTTATAGTTAAAGTTGCAGAATTAAAATTCGATCAGCATAATATCCAAATACCAGTTCTAGCATGGTTCCCACGAGATACAAGGGACTGTAGGTTACGAAGATCTTGACATACATATTTAAATATTTTCCCTTACATATCTTATATCTGAGAAGTTGTAGAAGGTCATAATTTTTAGATAATATTATGTTGGGTCATTACGAGGAGCATTTATATTAGATCAAGAGCAATACACAAGTGAGAGAGACGTCACATATTCACCTAAAATTTTAAGGTGATCAATGTATAGGTAATCTCACTTATAAAGTGTTTAACCTTCAATTTTCTATACAATGTGGGACTTCCAACTCACATTTATACACAACAACCTCTCCCTCAAGTGTGAGTTCATTCACTATGCTCTCTCTCTCTCTCTCTCTCTCTCTCTCTCTCTCTCTCTCTCTCTCTCTCTCTCTCTCTCTCTCTCTCTCTCTCTCTCTCTCTCTCTCTCTCTCTCTCTCTCAATCAGAAGCTCTTTCACCCACATTAACTTGTACCGCCATTATGGACACTACAACATGACACGCCGCCTAACGACCACATTGTCAGGAAGACTTTCGATACAAGGAGTCGGTCCCTTAATTGAACCATTGACTCTGATACCACTATTGGATCATCATGAGGAGCATCCACATTGGATCAAGAGTAACACACAAGTGAGAGAGACACCACATATTGTAACACCCTAAATTCTATATTAATTAATTTAGCGTAATTACATGAGTCAATATGAAGTGATTGATGTTTTGATGATTATATGTGAGCCTTATGATAACTTGTGAAATTATGATGAATATGAAGTGTACCATGATGATCGAGGTAAACATGATGTTTGAATGTGATAATTTGATTAATATGATGTGTAATGGGTTACTATGAGTAATATAGAGGGAATGGGATGATATTGACCAATTGTGTATTTTTAGAATAATTAAAGTAATATTTAGAATTATTTTAATTAAGATAAATAGAATAATATGTGATGTAGAAAAAATAAGGGCATTGTGGTCATTAGTGAAGGGTAAGTGAGAACATGATGAGAATTTCATTATTAGGTGTCTAAGAGGGCAAGTTTGTTATAAGGAGAAGGTTTGGGATTACGATCATTTTGTGTGAACATGGAATTGGAACAAACGCTGTAGAGAAAAAAAGTCTAGGGCACAAGAGGCAAGAAGAGCATAGGAATTTCGGTAGAGCACGAAGAGGAATGATCCCTATCAATAATCTTAAGGTAAGGGGAGTATTACCATTGTTATTATATTTGATTTAAGGTTTAGATGCTGGTAGAATTGCCTTAGGTTTTGGTAGATTAGGTGTTGTTTGATGAGAAATTGATGAATTGGTGATGAATAATAACTTATAATTGATGTGCAATGAGTATAGAATTATAGGATGTTGATAGATGATGAAACCCTAGGATTAGATGATGTTTTAGGACATGTAATATGATGGAATCACATGAGAATTGAACCGGTTTATGCAGGAAATCACAACAGGAAAACCTTGTTCGCGCAGCGTCGCCCGACGACGTAGGTAGTGTCTTCGGGCGAAGACGTGTCGACAGGCGAAATAGGTAGCGATGAAGGGCAGAAAAGAGTGACGCTTCTGGATTGCTTCGCTCCAAGCATCGTCCGACGATGGTGGTGGCGAAGGGAACGCCGTCAGGCGATGAAGGTGTGCCTCCAGGCGATGATGTCCAATTTTGATTGATTGTATTGGATTTTCTTAAAAGAGACATAACTTGAGTTTTATAACTCGGAATGAGATGTTGTTCGAAGCATTGGATAGCTAACGCGACGAACTTTATTTATGTGGAGTAAAATGAAGAATAAGAATTATATTCCCAATATCTAATATAGAAAGAAGTTAGGTTCCACATGTTTGTTTATTAAGATGACTAGAAGATGAATAGAGGATTATTATGAGGCATTAGGATGATACCATATATAATATGATGACATGAAGATATGTTGTGTGATATGATGATGTTTCATTATAATGATGATTACACGATATTATGATGATATGATGTTTTATTAAGATGATTATATAATGATATGATGTTATGATGATGATATGATGATGTATTCATGAATGATGATGTGTGTTTACTAGTCGTGATCGTGTTCATTATGTTATTGTGCATCATGCATTCATGGAATATTTTAGGACTTCGGTCCAGTGAAGTTAAGACTTCAGACTAGTGAAAAGGGACGATTGTATAGTGAAGGCAACAATCCCATTGTATGGATTGGGTGCAACAGTGAATTGCTCTGGTTCCAAGCGAGAATCGATCCTATGGTGGGGATCTTTGGAGATAACGATCACTAAGTAATCAGTGAAGTTTTTGTACCACATGCATTACATTTTATGTGACATTGCATAATGATGTGATTAAATGATAATTGTTGATAAATGGTGTGTTGATAACTTGTTGTTGTGAATTGATGATGTTGTGAAGGTGTGAGTATAACATGAAGATATGATAATGTGTGATGCCTTACTTATGTGTATATTAACTATGTATATTCCTTATGTCTTATATAATGCTTATGATTTACTCACTCTTTCTGCTTGAATGTTGTCTCCACGTGGATAACGCCCAGGTGATCGGGAATAGCCGTAGAAGCATTAGAGGGTAGCTACGGAGTTCGTATATTTGCTTTTGTTGAATAAAGGGGGTGTTACTTTGATATGTAACATCGAGGTTGGGGTCGAATGATTTGGAACTTTTGTTCTTTATTTTTTTTAAAGATGTTGAGTCACCTTACGTGGTACTCGAGTTATTTTGATTTATAAGTATGAGTTACAAAGTATGAATAAATTTTATGAAATATTTATTATGAGATGTTTGAGTTATGACTTCCTCTACATTAATTTGAAGAATCAAATGTTGGAGTATCTTGTTTAATATTTCGAAAACCTGTGTTACGGAGCAGGATGTATTGTTGTGATGTTTTATACGCGGGTCTCACGTGTTCTATCGGAAATTTATTAAATATTGAAAGACCCCAAAATTTGTTCGAAAGATTATAAGGGTACGTTGTACAACGTTCCCATGGGAATTAAGAGTAGGCATAGATGATGATGCATCATCTTACCAGCGTTTGAACTGATGTTTTGATTAGAACTTAGACACGACGTCGCAGATAACTTGTTAGTATCTAAGAGATTGTAGATTCTTTTGCATATTTACAAACATACAGGTTTTGAAAAAGTTAACTTACTAATGCTTGGAGACTAATATAGTAAGTTTTGATTTTATTTTATTTTGTCTATTCATCACAACCTAGGGGGTGAATAAAATAAAGTCTGATAACACATTGCTTCCTGGAGACTGATGCAATGGATTACGTAGATTTATTCACATATCTACCGCAACCTATGGGATAGAAATTTGAAAAGCTTCATAACAACATTGCTACATGGAGACTGGCACAATGAGTTATATTGCCGACTTCATCGTGCTTACTACAACCTAAGGATTAAAAAATTAGAGGATGAATTCACGTGTTCATTGCAACCTAGGGAATGAATCATATGAACCGGCCATTCACACATCTACCACAACCTATGGGGTATATGATTGAAAAAGCTTGATAACAAAATCGTTGCATGGAGACTGACGCAATGAGTTATATTGTAGATTTCACACATTGCTGCATGGAGCCTGATACAATGAGATATATTACGAATTTCACACATTGCTTCATGGAAACTGACGTAATGGGTTATATCGCAGAGGAGGAACCTGTGTATTTATCACAACCTAGGGGATAAATAAAACACAGTTCGATAATACATTGTTGCATGGAGACTGATGCAATGGATTATGCAGACTTATTTACATATATATCGCAACCTAGGGGTTAGATAATTGAAAAAATCTTGATAACTACATCGTTGCATGGAGACTGAAGCAATGAGTTATATCGCGAATTTTACATATCGCTGCATGGAGACTGACGCAATGAGTTATATCACAGAAAAAGCTTGATAACAACATTGCTGCATGGAAACTGATGCAATGAGTTATATCATAGATTTCCCACATCGTTGCATGGAGATTGATGCAATGGGTTATATCGCAAGAAAAGCTTGATAACAAAATTGTTGCATGGAGACTGATGTAACGAGTTATATCACATATTTCTCATATTGTTGCATGGAGATTTACGCAATGGGCTATATTGCATAGGAGGAACCACATCGCTGCATGGAGACTGAAGGAATGGG